TTTTTTCTCGAGACAGGGTTTCTCTATGTAGCTTTGGAGTCTATCCTGGCACTCTGGAGACCAGGCTGGCCTCGAACTCACAGAGATTTGCCTGCCTCTGCCTCCCGAGTGCTGGGATTAAAGGCATGCGCCACCAACGCCTGGCTTAGTTAGTGATTCTTAAACATTATAAAAACATTCACACCACAGCAAAGTAGTAATAAATCTTGTACAGGGCAGTTGTGGGGCTGGAGACATGGCCCAGGGTTATGAGAGATACTGCTCATCGGAGGACAGTTCAGTTCCCTGTACCTGTGTGGACAGCTTACAACTTGTAACTTCCGCTCCAGGGACTCTGACACTGTCTGGCCTCTGAAAACACTTTTTTAGAAAGGCTCCTGTGCTAAGTGGTCCCTTTTTTTCCCCCTTTTCTCTGAAAACAGGTCTGAAGAGATTTGCTGTCCGTGGAGCATAGCCACCCTCAGATTGTCCACTACTTGTTGCCACAATGCTTGGGAGACTGACTCTTCCTCAACTGGTTTTTGCTACGTTCCTTGGGATTGCTGGAGGATTGTATATTTATCAGCCAATATTTGAACAATATTCCAGAGATCAGAAGGAATTAAAAGAGAAGTTGAAACTGTTGCAAGAGTCAGAAGAAAAGAGGAACTAATTCTGCATGGAGTGAAATTGTAGGCATTGCTTACCGTTCAGTCTGTTGAAATTGCACATGGACTATTAATCAAGTAAACATTAGGTACATTTTAAATAAATAAATCATGGGTTAGTTACTATCTATCTATCTATTTATTTATTTATTTATTTATTTATTTATTTATTGTTTTGGAGACAGGGTTTCTCTGTGTAGCCCTAGCTGTCCTAGAACTCACTTGGTAGACCAGGCTGGCCTCAGAGATTTACTTGCCTCTGCCTCCCAAGTGCTGGGATTAAATGTCTGAGTGACCACTGCCAGGCAGTTTAAGTCATTTATAACATTAGTTCTTTGTTGGTTTGTTTCAGGGAAAGAGCTCACGATGTAGCACAGACTGGCCTCAAGCTCTAAGCAGTACAGCCTCAGCTTTCCAAATGCTTGGATTATAGGGGTGCTGACATTTGTTTTCTAGATAGGATCTGTCTGTGTAGCTCTGGCTGGTCTCAAACATGCAATCCTGCCACTCACTGGTGCTAGGGTTATAGAATATTGTAATGATGACTCCTTCCGATTGGCCAATAGTGCTTTATTTATCAGCCAATAAGACAAACATATACACAGAAGGATCTCCCCCATCATCGTTTCACCACACCTAACTAAAATAAGATGCTTCATTTAAAAAATATTTCTTTTTAGTTATATAATTATGTGTGCTTCACGTGAGTTTTGCACACACGAGTGCAAGTGCCTCTGCAGGCCAGAGTTGTTGAATATCCTAGAGCTGGAGTTACAGACGGTTGTGACCCACCATGTGGGTCCTGGGAATTTCATCTCAGTCCTATGTAGGAACAAATGTGCTCTTCAATGCTGAGCCATCTCTCCAGCCCCAAGATGCTTCACTTTAACGTTCACTTATTTATTTGCTATTTTATATTGTATCAGGACAGGGCAGCAATTTCCTATTGCATAAATTAATTTAGTCAGTATGCTTAATAGTTTTGTGTGTGCTTTTTTTTGAAGATTTATTTATTATGTATACAGTCTTCTGCTACCATGTAAGCCTACGTGCCAGAAGAGGGCGCCAGATCTCATTATAGATGGTTGTGAGCCACCGTGTAGTTGCTAGGAATTGAACTCAGGACCTCTGGAAGAGCAGCCAGTGCTCTGAATCTCTGAGCCATCTCTCCAGCCCTAGTGGTGCTTTTAAGATTCCCCTTTTTTCTCATGGGATCCATGAGCCCTTCTGGCAAGACATATACATCTTAAAAAAAAAAAAAAGATTTATTTATTTACTATATATAGCATTCTGCCTGCATGTATGCCTGCAGGCCAGAAGAGGGCACCAGCTCTTGTTTTAGATGGTTGTGAGCCACATGTGGTTGCTGGGAATTGAACTCAGGCCCTCTGAAAGAGTAGCCAGTGCTCTTAACTGCTGAGCCATCTCTCAAGCCCCATAAATCTTATTTTAATTCCCCTGTTCTTGTACAATACAAGCACAAATGTGAGGGTTTTGCCTGTTACATTTTACTAGTTGTGGAGACTGAATCCAGGGCTTTCTGCTGTTGCGTAAGTGTTCTACCACTGACCTATACGTCCCGGTTAGAGATGGTTGTAAACTGCCATGTGAATGCTCCATCCTCTGGAGGAGCAGCAAGTGCTCTTAACCACTGAGCCATCTTCAAGCCTCTGCTTTTTAAACTTCAAGTGTCTCTAAGTGTCCCAGATTCACACTGAATTCACGCAGACAGGGCTTGAATTTGTGATTATCCTTCCTTAATTTCTAGAGTAGCTGGAGCTACAGGCCTTTGTGATATAATCCAGGATGGTATTAAACTCACAGTGTAGCTCAAGTTAGTTTTAAACTTGTCATCCTGCTTCAGCCTTCCAAGTGCTGGGATTGAATTTGTGAACCACCATGGCTAGTTTGAAATGTCTAATCCAGGTATCAAGATTCTACGTGACAGAAGATCTGGGCTTTAAACCAAATCAAACCCCTTTTGGCCTTCATTTGGAAGGGCTCTGTTGGTAGGGTGTTTGCCTAGCATTTGTGAAGCCCTGGGTTTCATGCCCAGCACCTCACACACTGGGCTTAGTGATGCAGTTGTGTAGTCACAGCACTCAGGTGCAAGCAGAGGAATTAGAAGTTCAAGGTCATCCTCAGCTACATAGGAAGTTGGAGGCCAGCCTGGGTTCTGCTGTTTTGCTTCCAGGCCCATCTCTACTTTGGAATCCTTTACCTCCATCCCTTCCTCATATTCTCATCACTTTCCTTGATTTGATGGGGTTTTGTTTTTTGTGTTTGTTTGTTTGAGACAGGGTTTCTCTGTAACTTTGAAGCCTGTCCTGGAACTCACTCTGTAGATCACGCTGGCCTGGTCTCCCAGAGATCCACCTGCTTCTGCTTCCCAAGTGCTGGGACTAAAGGTGTGCACCGCCATTTGGTGATATTTTTATGTGTTCAAAGACTTACTTATTTTGTGGAGACAGTCCCAATGTGCTGCCCAAGCTGGCTTTAGACTCTTCAATCAAGCGATATTCCTGCTCGAGCCCCCCTCTTACATGCCCACTCCCAGTGGCTGGGATGCAGGCACCTTCCACTCTGTCTATCTACCAATGACATCCTTTACTTTCCTTATTGAGACCCTTAATGGGTGTTGCTGGAGTTTCCTACTCAAGCATCTATCTTACAAGTAAGTTCTGGCCTAGTCCATTGTTGTACCCTATGTGCCTAAAAGCCTCTTACTCACTGAAAGCACCTCAGGTGATGAATCGCCACAGTGTCATCTGTCTAAACTCCAAGTCATGACTGCTTGGCTGCTGAAGTGGAGAACCCTGAAGGTGGGCATTCCACCTGGATCATACCAACACTGTGTTGTTCCATAATATAGTTCATTTACTGTTTGTCCGCCCAAAGGTTTGTGTGTGAGAAGGTTGGTCTCCAGTGTGATGGTATTGAAAGATGGTACCTTCTTAAGAGCTAGTTCCTGAAGGAAGATGATTACCTGGCTTTTCCTGGGGTGTGGTGTTATCTTTCTTGTACAAAGAAAAGCCTGTCTGAAGGTCAGAAAATGGAGCTTGCCACTACCTAACCCACAGAGGTCTGAAGGTATTTCTGTTCACACCAGATGAGAGGAAAGGGTAGAAAGAGACCTTTCAGGTCCAGCTTGGTGAAGCCAGTGATTTTATTGAGTTACCTACAGAAGCATGGGTGGCTCCAGGAGCTGCCATCGGCAGAAGGCTCCTTGGACATAGTTGAGAAACTGACTGCACTGTGAGGCAATCCCAGCAGACTGGAGGGGTGACTGGTCAGCAGGTGGATGTTTGTAGTGGGAGGCCACCTGGATGGACAGCTGCATGGACAGAAGCTGAACTCAGGCTTGCCGGCATTTTGCTTGTCTTGGATATGGAATTCTGAAAGCACAAGAGGGCAGACCCAACAGTGTTGAGAGCTCTGAGCCACCTTTGGGTAGGTTTGGCTAATCTCATCCCCAGGGTCAAGATCCAAACTGCTCAAAGAAAACCCTGGTCATCGAAGAGGCCGCCGGGAGGCAGCAGAGGTTTACAGGATGCGCCTGACTTTGCTGGTCTTAGTATGTTATGGCACCCCATAATTTCCCTCTTACAGTGTATTAACTGTCCTAACAGTTTTTAAGGAACCCAGGCTGACTGTAATCAGAATTAGACCATGTTCGCTTAGACTCCGCTGGCCATTGACTCTCAGATTGGTGTTAATTTTTTTCCTGCCTGAATCTTACTGCCTGTCACATCCAGGAACCCCGGAAGGCTACGCCCAGGCTGTCCCCAGCGAGGATGCACAGCCACGAAAAGGCTTTTAGGACAGACCTTCAGAGTCACCAGTGCACGCCTCGCCTCTCCCGGGTCCCCCAGCAGTTTGACCTTTTTATGAATGGCACTTTGGGTCTCAAAACGAAAACCACTCCCTGTGGTTCCCGCATCTTCCCCAACAGGGCAAGAAGACCTGTTTCCGGCCAGGCGAGGGGAGCGGTCTTTTCTGTGACTTGGGGGCCTGTGGGCAGGTGACAGGAGGCGGAGGTGGAGGCCGCGCAGGGCCCGCCCCCACCGCGCTCTCCTACACGGGAAGTGATGTGGGGCCGGACGGAAAAAACCGCCAAGCACCCCAAAAAGGTCAGTCGCTTGGGGTCTCAAGCTCCGTGGAAGGGAGTCCGAAGAGACTGACCACCGCGGGGACGCAACACTTTGAGGACCTAGCATTGCAGGAACGCAACACGCGGGGACAGCACAGAGACAGAGCACCAAACCGGGTGAGCGCAGTGCGTCGTGGGCGCTGCAGGTTGAGGGCGGTCGAGCTGTCCCTGGGGCAACCAGAGATAATAAATCTTTGGACGGGATGCTGGTCCCGTTAAGCTCCAGGGGTTAGGGTCCAAGGTTACCCCAAGTGAAATCTGGGTGCCAGAGTCCCCATAAGGAGGTGAGAGTAAGGTCCTCTCCATCTCCCTTCTGTTCCTTCACTTGGGTTTCCACTTTAAAGTCTTTAGAGCCCTGCTGCTTGCAGGCGGCAAAGGGCTCTCCCTTTTCCTGTCATTCAGAGAACCCAGTCGGTCAGCCAGGTCTTAGAGTCACCCTACCGGGAGGTGGAATTAACACATTTTGGTCACTTTGCCAAGGCCGGGTCTCCGGCGCAGTAGCTGGGTACCGACCGATTTAGAAATCCAGGTCTGAAATCTTGAGACTCCTCAGCAACCCCCTGGCCTTTGCAGTTGGTTCCCTGGAGTATTCTCCACAGGCTTCCCTTGCAAGCCCAAGGGCTAACAGCTGTTCTGAGTTAGCTCTTGAGCCCAGCTGCGTGAGTGAGGCAGGAGGCATTTTTAATCATTTCTTTAAAGCTTTCTGGAGAGTGAAAACAGCACAGGAAAGGTAATCCTCACATCTGGGAGGTGGACAGAGAAAGATTCAGGGTTCAAGGTCAGCCTTTGCTACATAGAGAACTTGAGACCAGCCTGGTTTACATGAGACCTGTCTCCAAAAAATAAATAACGCCAACAAAGAGAAAGGAAGGGAGGAAGGAAGGAAAGAAAGAAAAAATAGAAGAAGCAATACAGCGACGCTGAACACATCTGAATGAGAACTGCTTACTGTATTTTCCCTTGGCCTCCCTCCCTCCCTCACACCCATTCCCTGCTTCCTTTCCATAATCTGTCATAATTTTTATTTATTATATATTCATATTAAATATAAAATATATCACATTAACATATTATATTAAATATATTTATGCTACAATGCCAATTATATATTAGATTAAATATAATATTAAATATATTAATTAAATTTGATTTTTGTTTTTTGAGTCAGAGGTCTCACTGTGTAGCTCTGGTTGGCCTGGAATACATTATGTAGACCAGGATGATCTTGAACTCACAGAAAGCTGCCTCCTTCTGGATCAAAGGTCTGGCCACCTTACTTTTGTTGACCTGGGTTTCTCACTGAATCTGGAGCTCCTTGTCTGGATTGGTTGGGCAGAAAGTCTCAGGGATCCTCCTCTCCCTCCCCAAGCCTTAGGATCATATACCTGCACCTTCACAGCCCAGTGTGAATTTTGGGACCCCAAAGCAGACCTTTCTGATTACATAGAAAGGACTCTGCCCACTGAGCCATCTCCCCCAGCCATTGTTTTGGTTTTGATTTTATGAGACAAGGTCTCACTCTTATACCCAGGCTGGCCTTGAACTGGTTGGTAATAATCCCTAGTCAGCCTGGAAGTGCTGGCATTAATTACAGCTGTGTGCCACCATGCCCAGCAAGTTATTTGTCTGTTTGAGGTCATGAAAATTTGTGCTTATGATTTTTTGTACACCCAGAATTCTTATAGTTTTGGCTGCTCCATTTCATTCTTTGATTAATTTTAAGTTAATTTTGTATGTGGTGTAGTGCAGGGCATCCAACTTTATCTCCTCAAATGTGGATATTGGACATTCACTTTTCCCAGCAGTGTTTGCTGACAACACTAGAAAACAAATCAAATATAAATGTGGACTTTGTAGTCTTCCGAATACCGTATGCCTGTCGATACAGTGGTGGCACCCAGTCCGGATTATTGAACCCATGGAGTTTTGAAGTTGGGGCATGCCGGGACTCCAGCTTTGCCCTTCTTTACGGTTGCTTTTGGCTGTGCAGAGTCCCTTGCATCTCTGTGTGGAATTTAAGGCCAGCTTCTCAATTCTCTTGCCTTGGCTTTAGAACAAGTGTAGGCAGCAGTCTTTGGGAAGCAGACTTTTAACTTCCTTTCCTGATACCTGCCTTCCACATCTTAGTGGATAGCCACTTCACTCCTGTAGAAGCTCACACTAAACACCCTGGGATCGCCCTCAAGTTTCTTCATCCTTTTGTATCCCTTGCCCAACCTGAGCAAATGTTATTGAGTCTACCTTAGTATAACTAATTTTTTATTTTGGTTTACAAACTTTTTTTTTTCTTCGAGACAGGGTTTCTCTGTGTAGCTTTGGAGCCTATCCTTGGTTTACAAACTTTTGAAGTGGATAGGAAATGGCTCGGCAGTTTAGAGCACATACTGCTCTTCCTGAGGCCCCACCTTTGATTCCCAGCGCCCATATCAGGCAACTCACAACTGCTTCTAACCCCAACTTCAGAGAATACAGTGCCCCCTTCTGGCCTCTGCCAGCATTGCACTCATGTGCACAAATTACACACACACACACACACACACACACACACACACACACACACACAAAATTAAAAATAAATACACATGAGATA